ATCAATATGTCATTTTAGAAAGATCAATAATGGCAAAATCAGCAACCTACTCCAACAATACAAAGCTGCCTACCTAAAAACTTAACTGTTAATTAACAGTGACAATCCTGCCTGGGTGATCAAGAGTGTGATGACACTAAGCTGTTTAAGTGGAGTGACCTGTCTGTCTGAGTACAGGGCTTTCAATAAGTTTTGAAATAGGTGACTACATACATCAGTACAGCACCCACCAGAGAGTGACATAAGTGCAATTTGAGTGTGGTGACCGCGACTTGAACACGGTGAAAAATACCTGGCGACTCACAACATAATACCCGCTGGAGCTCTGGTGGGTGCCAGGTCTTACTGAAAGCCCTGGAGCAGTAATTGTTGCGAGGATCAATGCAACATGACAACCAGCAGCTGAGCTGGCTCAAACCAAATGGATTGCTTGATTTGAGTCCGAAACGAATCACTTGAAGTGGTCTCATGTAATTAACCTGGTGCTGCATAAAAACAAATTATGGTCATATTCTCATTTATGCTATTTTTTTAATTTTTAATTAAGGTGCAGTGGATTTATGAATTAATAACTGTAATGTACGTTCTAAATAACTGATTAAAATTAAGCTTAGTAAAGAGAAATATGGTATATGGTCTTCCACTCGCTGTGTGTAATTTAATTTCCAATACTTAAAAACTGAAGCATATTAAATAATTTTCTTTTAGATATGTTCTCCCGTGTATTGTTAAAATCAAAGTTCTTGAATGCTCCAACTGGAACCATTAATCTGCCCCAAGAAACACAGGGCAAGACCATGTTTGGGGAACTTGAGGTCAGATATATAACATTAAATACTTAATATATATAGACATAACTCAGACTTAGTATAATATTTTGCCATTTGCAGAAATGACCTGATGCACATGCATGGACAAATATCTCGTTAAGCAAGCTAAGCCATCAAAAATAAGGGATTTCCAACTGCTTAATTTCCTTTCTAATATACTTAAAGACCCAACAATTTAAACAGTTTATGCACATGCTCATGTGCACTGCTTGTAAGGAGATGTCAAAATGTCACTTCATATCAGCCTGAGCACTGAAAATTTAAATTCAGTTACATTTTAATTAGCCGTTTTATTTACTTTGTCTTCCACAAAATATTAAGTAAAAGAGTACATGAAAAATAGAACTAAGAGAAAACCAGGAAAACAAGCACAAAAAATACTGAGTGGCTTAATTTGTGCACTTCAATTAATCTTATCGAGCTGCTCAAGTATAAGTGAGAACTATATCCATGCATGGGCTGATAATTATATAATTATGGTAACTACAGTATCATGGATCAGCATTTTCTTTAAGTTTTTTAGTAGCCAGAGTTTTGTGAAAAGTAGATGGTAATGTGGAATCTGACAAACATCATTTCCTCGACATATCTTGACTCGTGAAGCATTAATGAAAGATAAGCCGTTGAAACCTGGCAGATCAAGAAGCTGGCGAGCTTCGGCTCTTATATAAAACCCTGTGTATACTTCCGGTTTCTTAAAATGCTAAAGGAGAATGCTATTTTTCATTAAATACAGCTTTTTACGACACGTTAAAATTGAAATCTACTATAATGACCAAATACGTAACATAATAATTGTCTTTTTTCTCTTTGTGCTGTATTCTGTTTTTGTCAAAATCAATGACTATGTTTTTTAATGTTTAAGGTTGGTACTGAGTTCCTATGGAAAACAGAGAGACTCTCTGCAGTTGGTCGAGCAAAAGCTGGGGCAAAGATAAAGAATCAGAAAAATGTGAAGCACAAAAAAGCACGTTCACATAGCCTCTCTGTCCCCTCATCACCACCCATACTTTCACAAACTCCTTCTGCCCTCTCTTTGCCACCCATGCATTCACTCACTCCTTCTGCCCCATCATCATCACCCATACTTTCACACACTCCTTCTGCCCCATTATCATCATCACCCATACGTTCACACACTCCTTCTGCCCCATCATCACCATCCATACTAGTGGGCACGAGTTCTGCACGTACACAAAACAGTACTAATCCAGCTATCACACCATGCATTGGGCACAGAGGGTATGTGAATGTGCCTGTGGAATCCTTTACACCTGCAGACATCTTTAAACCTGTAACGGTCGCGAGCAAGCGGATTCGCAAAGCAAAAAAAACAGTTGATTTATAAGTTTAAAATGCCACATAATGCAATTAACTCCTAAGATTCAAAGATATAGAATTTGGAACTGCCAAGAAGCTGCAGAAAAAAAAACTTAAATTATGTGTGTTAATGCATTTTTACTTTCATGTTGGTGTAAAACTAAATCCATATGTTGCCCAGGCCAATTACCAAATGTAGCTGTTACGTGAAATATTGACATATTTAGATTTAAATTTAGATTTTGACTAAAGTTTGAAAAAAGTAATAATTTAATTTTTGGAATGTTACCTTCTAATATATATACTGGCTTGATCATTATGTCACCAGGTAGCTTATAAAAGAACTATTTGTTATAAGTGGTGTGTTTTGATAGAGCTACAGAAGGAGTACATACAGACTGAGGTAGCTTTTAGAGCAATTGCAAATGTAATTGACAGTATTTTCAGTAAACTAAGCCAATTTCATGTACATCCATCATGATGTTTAGCCAAATGTGTCCAACTTGGTCTTTTTTGATGTCATTACTATTAAATTTTAACATTAAATGATGTTTTGGTCAAATTATTGTAAATTAACATGTCATGAAGATTTACTTCAAAGGATTCAATATGATGACAATATTGTGCATGTGGTAGCACTGCAGTGGCTTGAGTGCACTCTCTCGATGAGAGCTAGCTAGTGAAGTAGTTGAAAGACAAGCAAGGTTTGACTGGTATAGAGAGAATTTAAAAGGAATAACAAGATCTTACAAAGGTAAGATTAATGTGATGATCGATATAAAGACAATTAGTTGAGTACATGTATATCTTCCAAAATATGAGTAACCAATCCATAATACACAATTTAAGGTCTGCTAGTCTAGCTATATATAGATGATACAGATGGAATATATATCATCAAGCTCCTCATGTGTGGATCAATCAGTAAATGTAAGGTAAGAGTGACTTAATTTTGTAACCTGTAGCAGTTAAAAAAAGTAATCATGTGCATACAATGTATACAAGAATTGTGGAGTCGGGTCATCTGAGTCAGGTCATCTGGTACTAACATCTGGAAACAAACTTATAATCAATGATATTTTTGTAGTTTATTTTAAAATATACATCCATGTGGTACTCATCTTGCTAATGTGACAGCTGAACATTTTGTTGTTGGCATTACAAAATATTTCAAACCTCATCAACTTTAACTAATATAAGTTACTTTTTGCACTGTGCAAAAAGTAACTTTTTCAGATATCTTTAAAACTAATTAATAAGTCTTTGGAAAGGTGAAAAAGCTCCTAATTTGTCTTAAACACTTTAATCTAATTTTCTCACAGACTTTTATAGATTCTGCACATCTCACAAGCTGTCCTTGTGAAATTAAAAGGCTGGGAAATGTGTGCTCTGTTAGTACCTCCTGTGGTCCCATACAAAGCCATGGAAAACTTTTCTAAGGCTTTGTATCGGGGCTTTTATCTGGAGTATATCTGGTAGTACTCCAGGTTACTTCATTATGTTTACCATGAGATGTCATAGTCTCGCCAGTTTTTGACAGAAAGGTTGTTTACCTAAAAGTAAACCAGAACACCAACATGCATCATGAGACCCATGCATGTCTCAGTTGTCAAAAGAAGGAATGTTACTTATCAATGACAGGTCATTGCTTGTCAAACTTTGCCAATGAATTAACAAACACAATGTAATCAGTTAAAGGATTGTGAGAAGTGCCATATATATGTTCACACTGGTTTTGAAATTGTAGACCCTGTAAAAAAAGCTCTGAACAAGATTCTTCTTCACAGGTTATTTCACAGGTTGTGACCATGTGAAAAGTGCCCTGTTCACAGGTTTTGAGATATTAGACCCTGTGAAAAAACATGTGAAAAAGCTCCAGAACAAGATTCTTTTTCACAGGTTTTTTCACAGGTTTTTTCACAGGTTTTTTCATAGGTTTTATTTCACAGTTTCTTCACATATTTTTTCACAGGTTTTTGACCCTGTGAAAAGTGCCCTGTTCACAGGTTTTCAAAATTTCACACCCTGTGAAAAACCTGTGAAAAACATTTGAAAAAACAGGTGAAAAATGGTATTTCACAGGTTTTTTCACAGAAAAATTCATAGGTTTTTCACAGGTTTTTCACAGGTTCTCATCCAATAGTGTTCAGAGCAACTGTCTGAGATATAATATTTAATTCTAATTAATGAAAAAATATGGTCACAAATCATTGTCACAAACCAGTCTTCTTGTTGTGGTACACCTCTGCCCAGCAGTACCCACTGATGCAAACAAAACTGAAGGAATGGCAAGGTTTAAGTCTGCATCATCCATTACTGGAAGGAAAAAAAGACAGGATTTAAAATTAATCTGGGGTACAAGGTTATACTCTCATCCTAGAAATTATATGAAAAATTTTCGTGGTTTTTTTTGTTTTTTTGTTTTTTTTTTTTNNNNTTAACCCTTTGAATGCCAAGGACGTATATATACGTCCTAAAATAGGACCCTCAGATACCGAGGACGTATATATACGTCCTCTGACAAGCATTTTGTTTCTTTTCTCGGTCGTTCAAGGTTTTTATCCGTGGTTGTTTCAAAGGACCTGGGAACAATTTGAGAATCCGCTGACCACAGAATTTTGCACTGTGGCACAACATAACACCCAGAAGGCTTTGTTTATTTTCGCGGCAAATCCTTGCCAAATCCAACATGGCGGCCAGCACACGTCGACAGCACACGTCGACACATGCCGCTGGTTGCGAGGCATGCACCTGGGTTGGCATTCAAAGGGTTAATTTGGTTCATGGTAGTAATTAGTTCGTGCTTTAGGTTTACGATCAACTAACAAAAGTGTTTTATAGCTAAAACAGACCTCTCGAAAACAACAACGATGATAAGAACTTTATCGAACTGTAACTGTAACACTAATACACTGAAACTGGCAAGAAGCTATAAAAGACTTAAGTAGCCGTGGGCCATATGGCGTTACTCTGAGGCTTTTCGCTTTGTTCTTTTGATAGGTTCAACATGTTTGTTTTCTTTGTTTGTTTTTTCTCCTTATAGTTCATCTTCGATCTACTTATTTGCCATTTAGTTGCCAGGGAGCGTTTTTTGAATTAGAATGTCAATAATGTGAGTGTCAGGCAAGGAAAAAGAGCTAGTCCCCACAGTGAAAACTAAACATAGGGAATCATTTGAAAATTTTCTAGAAACAATAACGCCACAGGTATACGCCTAGGAAAAACTTTTTAAAATAGTTAACTTGCATGTTGTACAAATTCATTGTCGCTTTACAAGCAACCTTTGATCCTAGTCCTCGGCTGCATGACCTAAAACGTCTTGTACTTGAGCTTTTCCACTTTCTGTTCTAATTCTTTATGGAGAACTGATACCATCGTCGTTAACTCCCTCTCAAATAAGCCCCCGCCTAACCTTAAATGGGCTTGAAATAAATAAGCCGCCTGGGGGGTTAATAGCAACAACAACAACAACAACTTTAATCAGTATTACCATTTTGTACAGGTGTTACCAATTAAAATAACAATAAACAGCTAAATTTAAGAAAATGAAGATATAATGAAATGGTAGAATGAACGATGTTTATTTCGTCTTTCAAATGCGCGAAAGATGAAATTAGTAGCTAGCCTGCTGGTATGTGAATCGGTATTGTTAAAAAGAAAACAGACTTTATCCTCGATACTGTAATTTGTTCTAGAGGATTGACGGTACCTTCTTTCTCCAGATACTGTGATACGGCATGCAAATGAAGAAATCTACACATTAACTTTCAGCTAATTTGATTGAGCCACCCTCGGTCGAGGGAAATTTGACCTCGGAGCAACGGCGTGGCCGTGAGCTGCTGTACGGAACGCCGGTTGTTTTTCTGTGTTGCCTTTACTTCGTATTATGAAGAGGTTGACAGAGTCAAACAATAACACCCAAAAAAAATCGCCGATTTCAAGCCAAAAAACACAGGAATACATCAAAAGTAAGTGTCCTTGATTTATTTTATAGAAAAATAAGTAAGAATAATGATATTACGCGTTCGGAGATCTCAGTACTGTATTTAACAGTACTGATTTCTGTGATTTCACTAGTTAAAATTTTCGTTTCGTTTCGTTTCGTTAAATACCATAAGTCGGTGGGCTTATGGTATTCAACAAGACGAAACGAAACGAAACGAAACAAACTCGTAACCTGTGATTTCACTGGTCAAAATTTTCGTTTCGTTTCGTTAAATATCGTAAGCCATTGTTTTCAAGTAAAATGGATCTAGCAATTACAGTAGAAACCGTTGTCATAGACTTGTACTTTCCACCGTTTAGGATCAAAGTTTTCTTCACTATCTCTACCTCTTTGGGTTTGGAGTATAATTTGACTCATTAGCTAATATATTTTGAATAAAGATCATTTTGTGTGGAAAATTATTTATTTTTTAGTAATTTTGTCATGATTAATCCTACTTTGTCACAAACACTGACTGCGGTCATGCTATGTGGTTCAGGATTTAACAATACTATTAAGTTTATTGTAAAAGTTGCAACTTTTTTATACGTGATCTTTGACTGCTTATATCTTTCAGTTTGGCTAGTAAAATAACTGCAATTGTTGTAACATTTCACTTATCACCAGCTACTTGGCTAGGAAGTTAAAAAGTTAGTGTCGAGTCCTGTATTTGAGAGACTGAATTTTGTGATTTTAAAGTGGATGCAATTAAGTGGTAATTTAACTTTGTGTTGTACAACTTTGGTTTGGTCTAAAATCATACTTGTGATTTCAAATCAAACCCATGCTACACACTCACTTGATTTTGAAATCATCTGTCTGATTTCAGACTAAATTTCACTGTACTATATTTGATTACCATTATTTGTTAATACTGGAACTGTTATCCATGAAACGTAAACAGCTGCTTTTTGTAACCTCAGTATTCCAGCTGCAGTTACTTCAAACCACTTGAAGGACCTATTCATTGGATTATTAAAAAGGAATCCTCGTGACAGGCTGGATTTTGGTAAAGAATTATTACATCTTACATCTTTCATTAATGTACTGAGAAGTCTGTTCAGTTGACAGATGCAAAGCTTGTTCAAAGCAATTTGAAGCTGAATTGTATGAGGTAGAGGCTAAGATATAATTATGAGGACATTTGACTCTTCTTTCAAAAATGATTTTGTTGTCTCGTATAACCAAAAATTGTGTTATTTAAATCATGTCCCAGCAACAACTCTTATTATATGTAGTCTATGAACTGACTGTTACTGCTCAATTGATGATCTGAGTACAAGGCTGACAGAGGAAAAAAGAGAACAATATCACTTTGAGCTAAAAAGGTTTTTTCTTTACAAAGCAAGTTTCTTAGGCAGTGTTAGAAAAAGTTGCACTCTGGACACTATTAATGTATTTGTATTTGTTTCCAAAACAAGTCCAGCATTCTTGTAGGAGGCTTTCACAGGGTACTCTTCAAGGAAGGGGGAGGGGGGGTATTGTTTGAGGATTGCATTAACTGGAGTTGATACGGCACCCTTAATGTGTGTATCAATAGAGTATGTCATCATACACTTTGTTTGTCAGCAGTGTTGAGTATTAAATGTAAATTAAGTTATCTTTGGTTTGCAGCGGATTTCTTTGCCCATCCCTTCTTGACTGGCAGAGTTCCCCATCGTGCATGTAAGCGAGATCAAAACTACTGTTGCTGCTAATGTTCTAGAAGGGCAGGCAAGCAGTTAACAAGAACAAAGAAAGAAAATGAATGAGATATTTGCTCCAGAAAGAAATCCATTACTATGATCCTGTCTATTAAAGGCTCAATTATTTTGGCTCTGATCTTTCTGGAAATTCTGATTACTTTAACATTTAAAAGCAACCCAGCTACTTAAGATTTGAGT